GGACCCTAATATAGTACCCTAAATTACCATGAGAGTCTGGATGAAAACAAAACGGAACAAGAACACAAAAAATCATTGGAGTTTCTCAAACCACAAAGGCAGAACAAGTGGGTCTTTGGTCATAGATCAGGACTGGCGCTCCGTCCACCAACCCCAGCAAACACCAAGTCTCGTGCGTTAAGATGGTGCGCCGTTCAGCAAGCAGGTTCAGAACCACAAGCAGTTGCAAGACAAATACGTACTTCAGCACAGGCCTGTCGTGGTCCGATCACTGCCAATTACGCACTGTGGCGCGGGCGGGAGAAAAGCTGAAAGGCACAGTTCGATCCTGCGGACATAAACAGCTCTTAGGCCACAAATGCCCCACGGCAAGCTGCAAGCCATTGAACCCCCACGCCATCAGCTCCCATGAGGCTTGCCCTGTTGTCCATACGACTTCTGGCCTTGGGGTTTCCAAAGCCACTAGTGCAGACCCCCAGCCACAGCTACACCACACCACCCAACCTGATGCTTCGCGCCAGCTAGCGAGGACGAAAGTCGAGACCCGGGGACGGGCCTGGATGGCCTGTTGCTCCTTCCTCAGCCGCTCTTTGTCCTGAAGGCACAGCGACTTAGAGCTTCGTTCATAGCCTGGAGCAAGGGGGAGCCACAGGCCTTGAAGGCGCTGAAGAGGCCTAAGAGCTTCAAAAAGGCGGCGAAATCCAAGCCTCGTTCCGGGACTACGACGAAACCTCCATGTTTCATGAACACTACTCTGCCCCTGGCTGCCGGTGGCTTCCTGGTCCGCCTCCCAAATCATGAGAACTTACCCTCCATTGAGAGCGTCTAAACGACAAAGCTTGTTGTTACTTCTGCTACTGCAGCAATTTTCCTTTGCGACGGTGAAACCCGAAGCTCTTGACCAGCATGAGCTGCCGGACCTCTCGCAGCAGAGCCAGGAGCTGTGGCCGCTTAGACCTTCAGAACCAAAAGCAAACGAAAGTGCGTGCACGTCAGAGCATACATACGATAGGGACATGGCCCAGCTATGGATATAGCAATAGCTATAAACATAGATATTGATATAGACACTGATACAGATATAGGTACAGATATAGATACAGATACGGATATAAACAAAGGAACCAATATAGGTATAGGCATACATACGTTCATTCAAGTACACACATGCAGACATATGTATATGTGTTTCTGTTTACATGTTCGTCCTGCGCCTCCCTAGTGTTGTCTCAATGTAGCTCGTTCTTTTACGTATGTGCACACACGTGTGCATGTATGTATATATATATAT